GGCGGGGTTCGTGGGCAAGCGGGGGCTGGAGGAGGGAGGCGGGGAGGAGGCTGTGAGCCTGAGCAGCTTCTTCAAGCGCGCGCGCGCCACCGGGCCGCCGGGCGAGGGCGGCGGGACGGCGGGGGGCGGCGCGGCGGGGGGCGGCGCGGCGCGTGACAGCGCGCGAGAGGAGGAGGAGGACGAGGCGCTGCTCAGCGGCGCGCAGATCGCTGCGCTGCGAGCGTCCAGCAAGCTGCGCGGCGCTCTCGGCTCGCGCGAGCTGCGCGATCTCGTTCGCGAGATTGACGGCGCGGCGACGCGCGAGCTCGCGCTGAAGCGGCTCGAGGCAGCGCTCGAGGACGAGCGCTTCCACGCCTTCTCTCAAGACGTGGTCGCGACGCTGAGGATCGGGGGCTGACGAAAGGGGGGCGCTGTGTTCTTGAGGACGCGCGGCGTGTATGACGTGTGTGGCGTGTGACGTGTGAGGGTGTCAGAGTCGCACAGGTCTTTGCAACCTTTGTGTTTTGAGTCTCGGAAGAAGTGCACCCGTTTCGTTTCTTACTCGTATACGTAACCAAGGTCCAAGTGACAGTATATTCGCACACAACAAAATCTCACTCGCGCCCCGCGCGCGCGCGCGGACGCATTCGGACAGAGAGTGAGTGGCGAGTTGGAGACTGAGTCGGCAAGAGGGAGAGGCGATGGTGGCAAGCGTTCGTGCTCAGCGTTCGTGCTGCGCGTCCGGCGGCATCGTCCTCCGGTCTCTAGCTCTCCCCGCGCTGGGCTGCGTCGAAGGCGGAGGTCGTTTTGTCCACCGCCATGAAGCCCTTGCCCGCCTGCACCTTGCCGCTGCGATCGAGGACGACGGCGAGCTCCTCGTCCGTGATCACCTGTTGCATCGTGCAAAGAGTTGAAATCGAATGAGGAGCACTCTCGAGCTCCTCGCTCAGCACCTTGTTCTCACAGCCGAGCGCCGACTTGCTCGGGCGGGAGATAGGGGGAGATAGGGGGAGATAGGGGGAGATAGGGGGAGATAGGGGGAGATAGTACCTTGTTCTCACGGCCGAGCGCCGACTTGCTCGGGCGGGAGATAGGGGGAGATAGGGGGAGATAGGGGGAGATAGTACCTTGTTCTCACGGCCGAGCGCCGACTTGCTCGGGTCGAACGCGAGCAGCTCCTGCAGCGCAATCAGCAGGTTCGTTAATTAAAGCATAGCCTGTGTGAGACAGTCGAAGGCGAGCGACTGCTCCTGCAGCTCGTCCTCGGCGATGCGCTCGCTCCGGTCCGTCTTCTTGCCGATGTCCTTGAACTTGCCCTTGGAGACGACCAGCTGCTCGAGCTTCAGCTTCTGCTTGGCTTTGACGAGGATCTGCTCCTCGACCTGTTCACACTCGGCGAGGTGTGAAGAGACGCCGCCCACCGCGAGCCGGGGCGGCCCTCTGCCGCTCTTTCTCTACCGTCCCGCAGGCGGCCAGCCGGTACACCATCACGCGCTTGGTCTGGCCGATGCGGTGGCAGCGGTCCTGCGCCTGCAGGTCCATGTGCGGGTTCCAGTCGCTGTCGAAGATGATGCACGTGTCTGCCGACACGAGGTTGACGCCGAGCCCGCCTGTCCACAGCAGCACGCGCGTGAAGAGTGGCACCTCGTCTGCCGACACGAGGTTGACGCCGAGCCCGCCCGCGCGGGTCGAGAGCAAAAAGACGTCGATCGACTTGTCCGAGTTGAAGTCGTTCATCGCCTGCGTCCGGGTCTCTCTCCGATGAGGAGACCGTGCTGTGACTGCCAGACCCACCACCATGCCTCGGTCATCGCCTGCGTCCGGTCCTCCGCCGACACGCCGCCGTCGAGGCGGCAGCACTTGTAGCTGCGCAGGGCGCAGTACTCCTGAGGAGTCGAACCACGAGCGATTCAGAGTGGAGTAGCTTGCAGCTCCGGCGCAAGGCGCAGCCTTCTCGCTCCTGGAGGATGTCGAGCATCCGCGTCATCTGCGAGAAGATGAGCACCTGGCGCCCCACCGCTCCGACTTAGTCCGTCCACCACTCTCCCCCAGTCTTCCTTCAACTCTCAAGCTGGGGAGGAGCGCCTTGTGCCCATTCTTGGTGAGCTTCGCCATCAGCCGGTCGAGCAGCAGCATCTTGCCTGACGCCTGCACCAGCACCTCGTCCACCGCCTCCTCGCCTACTGGCCGACCGCTCCTGCTGAGAGAGGGGGTGAGAGCCGGCCCCCTCGCCCGCCGCCTCCTCGCCCGCGTCGCTGATCGGCCACTCGAACAGGTAGGGGTGGTTGCAGCACTTGCGCAGCTGCATGAGCAAGTTGTTGAGGGTGACCGCCTGGGGAGATATGGGGAGATATGGGGAGATATGGGGAGATATGAGCAAGTTGTTGAGGGTGACCGCCTTGCCATCCGACGTGGAGAGGTTCTTGTTGAGGATCTCCTTGTACTGCTGCTGCTGCCACTCCGACAGGGAGGCGTAGAGGATGTACTCCGTCTTTGAGGGGATGCCTGAGGGGAGATATGGGGAGATATGGGGAGATATGGGGAGGTAGAGGATGTACTCCGTCTTTGAGGGGATGCCTGAGGGGCCGCTCAGCTTGAGGCGGCGCAGCTGCATCTCGGCTACACCTCGGCTACACCTCGGCTAGATCTCGGCTAGATCTCGGCTGCATCTCGGCTAGATCTCGCACCGAGCTCGACGTCCTGCTTGAGGCGGCGCAGCAGGAAGGGGCGCAGGATCTGGTGGAGCTTGGTGACCACCTGTGGGGACGTGTCGGGGACGTGTCGGGGACGTGTCGGGGACGTGTCGGGGACGTGTCGGGGACGTGTCGACGACAGCTCAGACAACATGTCGGGGACGTGTCGGGGACGTGTCGGGGACGTGTCGGGGACGTGTCGGGGACGTGTCGGGGGATGTGTTGGGGACGTGTCGAGGGCATGTGGGGACGTGTCAGGGGCATGGCACAACCTGCTCGCCCTTCTCGCCCTTCATCACCTTGTCGTCGTTGTCCTCCTGCGTAAAGTCGAAGTCGAACCACGCCTGGCGGAGGGACGAGAGGCTCACACTCCATCGAGCGGCCGTCCTTCGCCTCCCGTCCTTCGCTGCCCGAGTCCCGTCGCTGCACCCTGTGTGGCTGTGTGGCTGTGTGGCTGTGAGGGGGCTGTGTGTTGCGCCCGTGGGACCGGCTCCCCATCAATCTCTCGACGATACCTGCTGTGGGTGGCCCCAGCGGTTTTTGGCAGCAATACCCCCTTTACCACCCCCCCCCCCCTCCCCGCCCCACTCTCCCTCCCCCTCTCTGCGCCTGGAACGAGTCGAGGTCGTCAAAGATGCTCGGCAGCAGAAAGTTGAGCAGCGACCATAGCTCGGTCAGGTTGTTCTGCAGCGGCGTGCCTGAGTCACAGCCATGGCACCGATAAGCCATGGCGTATCATCAAGGCGGGCCGTGTTTGCAGCAGCGTGCCGGCGAGCATCTCTCCCCATCTCCCAATCTCTCTCTCCCCCTTTCTCCCCCTATCTCCCCATAGCTCGGCGTGCCGGTGAGCAGCAGCCGGTTGCAGCCCGAAGCCCCCTGCGTGTCCGAACCGCAAATGCGCTTGAGCTCGCGGATCAGCCGGCAGTTCATGTTCTTCAGCCGGTGCCCCTCGTCGATGATGATGAACTTCCAGCCGATCTTGCTCAGCGCCGTCGCGTCGCGGATGACGATCTCGTACGACGTGATCATCACCTGATCTCATTCGCACCAACGCTCACCCCCCTCATCGGCGGTGGCGACCTCGCACGACGTGGCCGTCACCGGCATGCTGCCGTCGCCCTTGCGGTAGTGCGTGCCGCGCATCTGCGTGCGCTCCTCCTTGGAGCCGTGGTAGACGAGGGAGGGGATCGAGGGCGCCCACTTTTTGAACTCGTTGTGCCTGTTCACAGCTGGAGGTGTGAAGCGACGCCGTTCACAGCGAGAAGCCCCCTGTTTGAACTCGTCGTGCCAGTTCTGCAGGCAGGAGAGCGGGCCGACCACCATGAAGGGCCCCGCCACGCTCTTCTCCTTGAGGTGGGCGAGCAGTGCGATGGACTGGATCGTCTTGCCGAGCCCCATCTCGTCGCCGAGGATGCCTGCTCACATCTCTCCCCATCTCTCCCCATCTCTCCCCATCTCTCCCCATCTCTCCCCATCTCTCCCCATCTCGTCGCCAGGGTGCCTGCTCACAGATGAAAAGCAGCCGCGTCGAAACGATCTCTCGGCTAGACCTCGGCAGTCCTCTCGCCGCCCAAGCTGCCTCCGAGCCACCCCTCGGCTCCATCTGGCTCCATCTCGGCTAGACCTCGGCTAGACCTCGACTCAATCTCGGCTCCACCTCGGCTCCACCTCGGCTCCACCTCGGCTCCATCTCGGCTACATCTCGCCGTTGAGTCCATTCTCGTACAGCCCAACCATCCAGTGAACGCCCACCAGCTGGTACGGCCGCATTTGCCCCACGATGTGCTTCGGCTGAGGCAGGGAGGAGGCGGGCGGTGGCGAGCAGAGGGGCAGCAAGCGAGGGGCGGTGGCGCACGCGGGCGGAGCAGGAGAGGGACAGGAGCGAGCGAAGGTATGGCAGTGAGCAAAGTCCAGCGGGGGCGGGAGCGGGGAGGGCGGCAGCGGTGAGGGCGGCAGCGGTGAGGGCGGCAGCAGGGAGGGCGGTAGTGTTGATCGCCTGCGGCAGCGCAGGCCCGCGGACAGAGCCGTCCACGACGGCGTCGGCGCCCTCGCCCTCCTACAGAAAGAGGGCAGGAGGAGTGAGGGCAGAGGGCAGCAGCAGAGACGGCAGCAGCGGGGAGCAGTGAGGGCGGCGGCGGTGAGGGCAGCAGCGGGGAGCAGGGAGGGCGGCAGCGGTCAGGGCAGGAGCAGTGGGGGGGCAGGAGAGCGCTCCTTCTTGATCTTGTTGGCGAGAAACTCGGAGTAGGCGACCGACTTGGAGAGGAGCTGGTCCAGCCGCGCTACCTGCAGCCGGGAGAGCCGCTGCGGCGCGATCGCAACCACGGGCCACGTCCGAAGCGGCGGGGCGGTGCTGGCGGCGGCGAGGGCGCGGCGAGGGCGCGGCGAGGGTGATGTCAGCGCGGGGCGCGGCGCGCGCCTTGTCCTCGGTGGTCGCGTTGCGCAGGTCCTTGCTGTCCATGTCCTTGAGCCGCTGCTTCTCAGCCTCCTTCTCCGACTCGGCCATCATCCTATGGAGGGTCCAGACTGGGCATGTGGGCGCGGGGTGTGGGGCGGCAGCACGCAGCACGCGAGGCGGCGCACTTGGCCTCCTCCTCCTCCATAGCTTTTGTGACGACGACGGGGCCGTCGTCGGGCGAGCTGCTTCCCGCACCCTCCTGGCAGACGAGGACGTCGCGGGCGCTTTTTTGAGTGCGCTGCTGGCGCCAGCGCCTCCGGATCCGCGGGGGACATGAGGCGAGCGAGCGGGCGCGGCGCGGCGGGCGGGCGGGAGAGGAGGCGCGCGCCTCCGTTTTTGCGCGCTTCGCGGCGGGCGAATCCTCGGAGGCCATCGAAGCCTAGTGGCGATGCGACCTGCTCGCGCCAAACGAAGTGGATTCTCGCGCCAGGCCGAGAAGAACTCGTATCTCCCCCCAGGCCCGCGCGCGCTCGCACAGCACTCCCACCCCCGCCGCCCTCGCAAGCTCACAGGTTGAGTTGAGGAGAAGCAGCTGAGGGAGATCAAACAAAGCGGGAGCAGCAAGAGAAGGCGGCACGGCGGCGGCGGCGCGGCGCCCCCCCATCCCCATCCGCCTCCGGGCGTGAGTGTCCCCCCAGCGTCTGCTTGAGAGCAGACGCTCCGGTAATCAGGCCGAGAGTGCCAGGGAGGAGAGGGGAGAAGAGCCCAGGGAGGGGAGAGGAGAAGAGCCCAGGGAGGGGGGAGGAGAAGAGCCCAAGGCGGCCTCCCTCTCCCTCCCCTCCCACCGGGCCTCCCTCTCCCTCTCCTCCCACCGGGCCTCCCTCTCCCCCTCCTCCCGCCAAGCACCAACAGTCTCGAGGGGCCAGCCGCTGGAAGGGGCAAGCCAGCGGCACGAGGGCTTCAGCCACACAGCTACCAAGGGAACGCGACCCACACAAAGCACCAAAGTTAGGCATACCCCCCGGCGCCAAACGAAGTGCCGGGATTCTCGCGCCAGGGAGAGTAAGAATTTTAGAACCATCCTGGCCCTGGATGTGAGGCTGCCAAGTGCACTCCAAGTCTGATTCTCGCGCCAGGGAGAGAAAGAAAAAATAGAAAAGCGCCCGTCAGACGAGCGCACCACACCCCTCTCCTTAAAATCCCTGTGTGGTGGCGGCGTGCCGTCCTCCCATCCCTCCCTTGGGTTGTCCGTTTTTATCCCGGGCCGGCGTTGCCAGTGCCGATGTCCCCCTCGCGGGCGGTGCCAGGGGCGCCGGTGCAGGCGCCCTCGTAGGGCCGCGGTCGCCGTGGGCGCGGGGCTCAGGTATGGCCCAAATAGTCCACAGCCGTACCGTCACGCGCGAGATCGGCAACGGTCAGGCCTTTGTCTCGGAAGACCCCGAAATCAAACCGATACACAGCGGCGCGTCGACAGGTTTGCTGAAGGCGGCGGGGTGTTTTTCCACCCACTCCAACAGCGTCCGCTGCTTGGGCTAGAGCAGGTTTGCCTCTCGCACCCCGTCTGTTTTCCTTTCCTTTTTTCTCTGCCCTCTCTTTTCCTCTCTATTTTCCCGGGAAAACTCCGTGGAAATCGTCAAATTTTGGGCGCTGAGCCGAGTCTGAGGCTGGTTTGGGCCCAAAATCAGCCAAACTTTAGGCCAAATCGGCAAAATGCCGGGAATTTTGCGGAGAACCCGTGTATACCTCAATACCTGGAACTTACCCTGCGACCGCCTGGGTATTTTGTCGATTTCCTCAATTTTGCCTCAGATTTTGCCCCAGACCAGCTCTCAGACTCAGGGAAACTCGCGAGTTTCCAGAATGGAGCACCAAACACCCTCTGTTTTCCCTGGAAATTTCCGGAAACGCAAAGTGCTGGGGACCCTCTGTTTTCCTTTTTGTTTTCCGGAAAACCTGCTCTAGCCCAATCCGCTGCCGAATAAACGAGAGGCGCGCAGTGTCGACCTTCTTGTACCGGCCCGACCTGTCGGCGCCGCCGGCACTTCTCCGCCGCATCTCCTGCTTCAGCCCTTCGAGATGGGCCAGCCTGTCGAGCAGCTCCTCGGCTGTGGGGAGCCCCAGCGACGAGGAGCTCATGCGAACCTGCTGCTCCACGAGACGTTCGGCGGCGGCTTCTCGCCCACCGCCGTTCTCAAGCTGCGCCGCCTCGCGCGCAAAGTCGCGCGCGGCAGCGTTGACCGCACGGCCTACTCGCCCAAGTACTCGCTCTCTTTTATGTCCCACCATGCAGAGCGCATCTCTCTCTCTGTTGTGCGAGGCGTGAACCGCGCCATTCGCTCTCACCTGGCAACCCTGTCTGCACGTCTCGCGCGCGCGTGAACAGGGCTCCAGGCCCCAAATGACACGCGTGAGTGTTAGAGTTTTTTGGTATTGCTAAAAAATCTCTCTCTCGCAAAGTTGCAAAAAACAAACTCTCTCTCTCTCAAAGTTGAGGTTCCTGTTGCCGCGCCGGATGTGTAGTGTATCCGAGTTCTACTTCAATCCCCAAGCCGGATTTATGTGATCTGATCTCAAACAATTCAAAAAGAGTAAGCGGCCAAAGGATATCCACCTCGAGAAACCTCGAGAAAAAGACGATTTCCCGAAGCGCCGTTCACAGCGGTCAAACCATGAGATATTTGCACCTTCTGCTCGCGAACACCGCCGCCGCGCGAGGCGTCGGCGGCGCGGGCCAAGCTCTAGCGCCTTTGGCCCAGTCGTCGCTCTTCGACGCAGACCGCACGCAAAAGCGCCGCCTGGTTGGGGGAGCGTGCAACGCAACCGCGCAGTGCGGCCACACGGGGATTCCCTGCAGTTCCCTGCAGCCCGCATCATGCGACCTAGTGAAAGATCTGCTACAAACCTGTCCGCAGTGCGACGGCTGCTGCGCTCCTCCGCCGCCGTCGACATCGCCCTCCCCTCCGCCGCCGTCCGCCTCGCCCCCCCCGCCTTCCCCGCCTCTGTCCTCGCTGCCGTGCGAATTTGTCGTCGAAGGAGCTTCCCACTACAATGGCATATGGATAAACTCAAACGAGGTGAACAACAACCGCCCCATCTATGTGCTCTCGACAGATTGCACTCGGGTCCTGCAGTGGGGGTCTTCCGCTTGCGGCGGTTTTGTCTGGGATAGGTGCGTGCGCTCGACGTGCAGCGGGCCTTCTTCGTGCTACTGTTCGAGGGGTCGTTCGGCATTTAAGGGTGGCTCAGTGGCGGCACCAGGTCCCTTTGGAGGCTGGGGTGGCTCCGACCACGGCAACGTGGTGGCTTGCCCGCCCCACGCTCCCTCCGCCTCGCCGTCACACTCCCTACCACCACTTTTGCCACCGCCACCACCGCCGCCGCCGCCCTCTCTGCCGCCGCCGCCCTCTCCGCCGCCGTCTTCCCCGCCCTCTCCGCTGCCGCCCTCGCCGCCACCATCGTCGCCGCCCTCGTCCCCGCCACTTCTGGTGTACCACGGGATCGACGCGGTGGACGAGGTCATCGACGTCCTGACAAGCTCCAACAGCACGGGCGTCGCGGGCGACGGAATGCACCCGGCGACATTTGCCGTCTTCGCGCTCACGGCCTTGGCGCTTTTCGCTTGCTGCCGCCGCTACTGCTGCCGCCCCGGCTCGATCGAGAGGGTCACGGCGCGCCACCCTCACCCCTAAAGTCTATGAACTCTATCTTCAAACCTCTCACCGCTAAAACTGACCTTCAGGCCCTCAAGTCGAGCCGCGTGTGGCACACGCCGGTGGCCTCGGTGGCAGCCAAGCAGGACAAGAACCTCGAAACGCAGCCGCTCCGAGTATCAGACGTGCGTAGCGAGTATATTGACCGCTTGCCGCCAGACGCAATCCCGATCTCCAGCCTCACGGGGATCACGGCCTAGTGAAGCCCGCCGACTCGCTGCCGAGACGGTGTCAAGCTAGGTGGATTAGCCTCGCTGCACGCTTGGGAGACCGCGCCTCCTGATTCGCCCGCTGGGCGCGCGACGCTGTGCTCCGGGTCCAGCCGCCAAGTACGAACCTGGTTTGTGGAGCTCCCACAGATGTCTCCTAGACAGTCCTGAGCCTGTCCAGACAGTGTCCAGACAGCGTCCAGACAGTGTCCAGACAGCGTCCAGACAGTGGCACATGGCTCCACTCTTCACAGTAAAGTCTCGTAGTCGTGGCTGGACGACCCTGACAGCACCCCTGGCTGGCGCTGCCGAGGCCACTCCCCACCCACCCACCCACCCACATACACACCGCTTGCCGCCCTACTTGCCGTTTGGGGGGCAGCCAATTCTCGGACTCGGACGCAGGAAAAAATAGTTTCGGCGGTCTGAGGCGGCCCAGCGGACCCCAGCGAACCCGTTGGCACGGCCAGCGCGCGGGGGCACGGGGGCGACCCCCCACCTCACTAAAACTATTCCGAGCCGGCGGTCCTCGCGTCCGACTTGTGTGAGTGACTCGTGAGCCACCCCGACACCGCTCGGACCTCCTCTCCGCGTCGATATTCGTTGCTATCTCCATTGTTTGTTTGTCCCGAGCGGCCCCGTGCCTTGCCCCGGGCACGAGTAAACTACAACGCAATCCATCACAATGGGCTTCAATGCACTCCGGTCGAGTGCTCACATGGCGCTCGTGCGGAGCTTCAATGCTCACATGGCGCCGCACGACGTCACATGCGCACTCGTGCGGCAGACAAGCGCCGCGCCTTGTGTGCTCGATCGCAGCTTTGGGTGTGACCCTGCGAGCGGCAGCATGTGGGCCGCAGGCTGCCGCGGCGTGTTTCGCTGCCAGTCAAGCATGGTGCACTGTGGGTATCCGCCAGGCCTTCCGGCATACAATTGCTCGTGCGGCTCGCCGCGTGCGGACTCCAGCACCGTCGCTCTGAGCGAGAGTCGTGGCTATTGCGGGTCCCACAGGAGGACTGACAAAGAGGTGGATGCAGCAGACGAATCATGCACCGTGCGCTCACACCAGTGGCGGTCGTACACGAATAGGGATGGCGTGCTGACGCTCCAGGACTGCGCTCTTCGCTGTGTCGCCTGTGGGAATTGCAGCTACGCAAGCTTCTCGCAGATCACGAACGATTGCACGCTGTTTAGCGCGTGTAGCCTGGCGCATTTGCGACAGGGCCCTCAGGCGCACGTCCACAGCACGGTGGCCATTACTGGGCGCACTCGCAGCCCGATGGTAGACCGAGGGCAACTCGAGCCGGCGCTGATGCTCCAAGCTGTGTTGGACTACCTGTCAGCGACCCCTGCCCTGCCAGAAAAGCCAGGAAATATTTCCTCCGGGACGAAGTGGCTTCTCGGCCGACCGTTGCGCGGCGGGCCGTACCTGCTGCGCTTGGGCCCGGCGGCCACGGCCCCAGCCTGGTCCTTCGCAGCCTCTCACCTTCTGATCTGGCCAGCCTCGTTTTCCTCGGCCTATCTGGCCGCCGCCGTCCTTCTAAAGCACGCGC